TGTCTTGATGTTTGGGGATCTTCTGGACTATCAACGACTAAATTGGAACTCATGAAACGACGATTCCAGAATTCTTCAATTCTGCGTTTCACAACATTCATATTTGTTTCATAAATATGACTATCCGTATTGTTTTCGCTAGCCATATTAATAATTAGTTAAATAACTCTGAATACTTACACGAGATGATAGCTTCTTTTGACGAGCAAACACGAAGTGATCCCAATGTCAACATAGACAACGTATGTATATGATAAAGTCATGATTGTCATGGAGAGTTAATTCGTTGAATTCTTTTATTATAAGCCACTTAAATATTTGAAAATTAAAAATAATTGTTAATCAAAATCGGTCCAGCGAGAGCTTAGATTGAATGGTAATAGACAAAATAATTAAATTAAACACATTATAGTAAATATAATACTTCAAATCGAAGTTAAAACTATTATTTTTTTTATTATATCATAATAAGTTTAGGAATAGTAAACAATTCCTATAAAAAAACAATCTAGGTGGGATTTAGTTTAAATTTTATTAAAATTTAATAATGTCCATCATTACATGCATTTTGACTTTTTTACTTTGCTACTTAAGTATTAAATTTTGTCATATTAGAACTCATATATTTCATTGTATTTTAAGAAAAATGATTTCATTTGATTTAACCATTATAAAAAAAAATCAATTTTTTATACTATACTAACGTTTTAACTATATTGAAATTATTTACAAGTTTGGATCAAAGTTAAAAAAGAACAATAGTTTTTGTTGTCCTACACTGACAGACAAATTGTACTTTTCATTAACATCTTGTATTGAACTGAATTTTAGAAATGTTAATAATAGGTGCATAGTCTTCCTTTCCACAAGAAGGAAAAATGTCAAGATTTGATAAAATTATTTTAGGATTACAAAATTCCATTAATTCTGACTAAAATGGTTTAATATTAATTATGATCTAGTGTATGTAAAATATCAGTGTGCCAGTTTTATTTAAAAGTACTAGAATAGTATTTAGAAATCGAGTCTAAAAAAATTTTACAGTTTATAAGAAATAATTGACAAATTATTGAAATTAAGACATTCTTGTAGCTAAATTGCATAGCCGACACGCTGTTTCATATCATGATAATAAACAATTGGTTTAATTAAATGGGTATTAAACAGTTTATTTACAAAAATTTTAATTAACATTCTTTTAAATAGTATTGATATTAATTTTTAAATGAATTCTTGAGTTTTATAAGTTTTTTATTTACAATTACCATTTTTAAGTTACAAATTTAGATAATTTTAAAAATTAATTTTAATGTTCGATATTTATATTTAATAGTTTGTTTTTAACTTATGTAATTACTTTTTAAGTAATAAGTAATACTATAGTATATAACACAATAGTATTACTTAAGTTTATACTATAACTTATAAACATAATAATTCTCATGATGACAGGATTTCGATCCGTTATTGGAATGAGACATAATTCAAAATCTGTAAATGGAGCTAACGACAATAATTAAGATGAGTCTTGTTCGGTCGTGACGAAACAGTTTGGTGGGTGAGCGCCGATTTTTTATTCTCTTCAACAAGAGCGCGACCTGTCACAACTGGTTTACTTGTTGGGGTAGAGTGTGGCGGTGGTCGCGAAGGTGTCATTCGCGTTTCGGCATGCCTAGAGTGGTTTTTTGTGTATCACGGACTCAAGTGCGTTATTTTGTTTTCTTTGACGGTTTTATGTGTTCAATTCACTCTGTTGATTGCATCGGGCTCAACTGCTTTACTTGACACATTCACCTTCTTCATTTGGGTACAGAAAGCAAGGTCAGACTATACATTTTCTGTTTGTCTAAATATTAATTGCTAAGAATTTATATTGTTGTATCTTAGTATATTAGTTTAAATATAAATACTAACAATAGATTTAAGATAAACCATTGTTGTTACTGTATTAGAGAATACATATTAAACTCGATAAATAAATTACAGTCCATTAAAAACGATTTCTTTTAATTTTATTTAAAGGAACCTTTAGAGACGTGATTTCATTCGGCGATTGGTCGTCCGAGTATTTCGCGTCGCACAAGTCTGATGATGAAATTCTACTAATATTTTATATTCAATAAAATATTTCAGTTTTGTTTATTTATTCAAGATAAACAAAACCTAATACTATATTATTACGATTAGTAGTTTATTATTAACATTATATCACAAAAAAGCTTTATAGGTAACCCAACCAAACTCTTTGATGAAATCATTAATAAAAATTTTACTTATACATTTATATATAGTTAGTTGAGAAATTAAGATTTTAGGGTACTAAAGAATTTTAATATTTATTGGTAGATCATATTTTTATAATTCTCATCTTTAATTCCATAGGTTACTTTTGAAGAAAATTGAAATAGGAGTTAATTAATAAAAGTCTTTCGGTCATTTTTTTTAATACCCAATTTTTAATTTTATAACTTTTGTAATAAGTTCAAAAATGGCTAAACTAAAATATTTTGTGAATTAAAATGAGTTGATTTATATAAGATTATAAAACTTGAATAATTTAGGCTATTTACAAATCTTTCAATATTTGAGGTTGCAATTAAATTTAAAAAATAATTTGCATATATTCTATATATAGGTAAAGAAATACTTTTAATCTCATCATTATCATATTTCTAATCTAAATTTATCATATTATCAAAAATTGATACTGTTCGCGTTAGTTATCACGCTATTAAGAGATATCTATAATAATGATGGTCGCCGAGCAATATATGAAGTAGTTATGTTCGATCTACGTACGCGCGCGGACAAATCGCCAGCTTACAAGTAAATTATAATAAAACGATACAATCCACTATTTTGAATATTCGTATTTATCAATTATTTATTTATTTATTATACATATTGAACCAGTTCGAAACATTTGGTCCACCGTGCCGCATTGATAAATTAATATATAATTTGATTTTGCAAGTTTTGTCATCGTCGTGCTCGTCGTCGTACGTTTTTCAATTAAGTGCGTAAGTGTACCGTCTTAAGTGCGTTTCGTATTTTTTTTACTTTATTTATCGTATAGTTCGCCATTCGCAATTAGTTCGAGATTCGTAAAAGAATAGACTCGCTAGTTCTAATTTTCATCTCGTTCTATTTTTGGTGATACGATAAAAACGCCCATAATTCGAGTAACGTGTGCTATAATAGGAACATCATTGGTTTTTTATTACAAACCCTATATAGTACACTCGGAATTTAATTCAATAGAGCGCTATTGTAATCGCGTTATACAATTGACTACGGGGATTACGGAAGAAACGGAAAAGTATAGAGAGGAGATGGAAAATATTTATTTTGGAGTCTTAGCCGAATGTGATAAACTTATAAAGAAACTATGTTCATCTGATAATATCAGCATTTATGATAGTTCCGTTCAAAATATTCAATCTATTCCTACTAAACCCAATACTATAAATAATCAATTCGGTTCTTCTATAATCAAATTACCACCAATCGATCTACCTAAATTTTCAGGAGATTATTCTGAGTGGCAATCGTATTATGATATGTTTTCCACAGCGATCAACGAGAATAACAATCTCAATAATATCCAAAATTTTTTTTATTTACGATCTTCATTAAGCGGAGAAGCTGCTAAGGTAATACAGTGTTTACCTACCACTTCTGACAATTATACAATCGCCTGGCAAACTCTAAAAGAGCATTATAGTAATACTAAGTTCTTAGTTCAAGTGCATACTAAGTCGCTTTTCGATTTAAGTCCAATATACCACGAAAGTGCTGAAGAAACTCGACGTTTTCATGATACGTTAGTGGGTCATATTAAAGCTCTAGAGAATCTTGGTCAAAGGCTCGACTTGTGGGGTTCACTAATTATACATTTAATTACATGTAAATTGGATGTACAAAGTTTGCGTAGCTGGGAAATCGAATCACCAAGGTCAGAGGTAGCGACATTAGAAAATATTATTGTGTTTTTAGAATCGCGTTTTAGAATGCTAGAAGCTATCGAATCGTCTAGCAAATTACAATCTAATAATATTATACGCAGCTTCAGCAAGAAAAATTTTATTCAAAAAAGAAGTGATCGTAAAATAAATGTATTGTTTACAAGTGGCGGTAGCGTTACTTGTTATTATTGTAAACAATCGCACACTATTTATCGTTGTCCGTCGTTTTTAAAACTTACGGTAAATGAACGTATCAATAAAATTAAGCAATTAAACTATTGTATTATTTGTTTAAGAGCACATGCAGATGAACAAATATGTAAGGCCCGTCGTTGCGCTAAATGTGGACGCGGTCATAATAGTTTATTGCACGTACATTCGAAGACAGATAATGCGGGCAATTCAGATAACGTAGAAAGTATTATTGACAATAAAGTGCCAGATAATACAACGCTACAACAGCCGATATTAACAAACGCGCACACTTATCAAGGCAATTAAAACAGTAGCCGCAGGTCAGTGCTACTAGCTACTACCGTAGTACATGCGTATAATAATAAAAATGAACCGGTAGTGTGCCGAGTATTGTTAGACTCCGGCTCACAAAACAATTTTATCACCGAGTCAATGGCCCATTATTTGAAATTGAAAAGAAAAAATGTAGCGTATTCTGTTTTTGGAATAAACGAGTCACCGAATAATGTTTAATACCAGGTATCAGCGATTATTAAATATCGCGTGTCAGATTTTAAGACAAACTTGAACTTTTTAACACTCCCCAAGCTGACCAGTCTCTTACCACAATCGGGTATTGATGCGAGGGAGTTAAAAATACCGTCAGATATTATTTTGGCCGATCCTTGGGCGATCCTTGGCGGCACACCGCAAAGGATAAATATGTTGATTGGAGCTGAAATTTTCTTTGACTTAATGTATTCCGATCAAATAAAGACGGTTGAAGATGGTCCTGTTATATAAAAGACTGAGTTCGGTTGGATCGTGTCCGGTCCTATCTCAGCAAGCTTCACTACATCTATGTTCGCCACTACTGTATTACCACACCAACAAGTTGTAGTTGAACATGATATAAATGCCCGAATTAATTTAGATGACCAGATAGCGAAATTTTGGCAATTAGAAGAGGTCAAAACTAAAAACATTTTAAGTTTAGATGAAAAGGCGTGCCAGTTGCATTTTGAAAATAATACCAAACGGAATGAAAATGGACGATTTGTTGTATCATTGCCATTTAAGGATCATTCCATACTAGGTGAATCGTATCAAATAGCCTTAAAACGGTTTTTATCATTAGAACGGCGACTTCAGACTAATATCGAACTCAAAAATCTTTATTCTAAATTTATAAACGAATATCTAGAACTAAATCACATGGAAAGAATTTTGATAGACGAAAGTACTAACAACACATATTATATACCACATCATGCAATTTATAAAGAAAGTAGCCATACAACTAAACTACGAGTGGTATTTGACGCTTCTTGTAAAACCGACAACGGGGTAAGTCTTAATGATGTTTTATTTAAGGGTCCGTGTATATAAGAAGAACTCACCGAAATAATGATTAGATTTCGAACGCATAAATATGTTTTTTGTTCGGACATTGAAAAAATGTATAGGCAAATCTGGGTCTCTGAGAATCAAAGAGATTTCCAACGCATTTTATGGCGTGAAAATACTGAACATCCTGTACAAGTATTTAGACTAAAAACAGTCACATACGGAGTTGTGACTTCCTCGTACTTAGCAACCGGGTGTCTAAGAAAACTAGCCGAAGAAAAGGCTGATCATTAACCGGAAGCTTGTAGAGCGTTGCATGAAGATTTTTATATGGATGACCTCCTAAGTGGTTCAGATACTTTAAAAAAGGCGGTCAAGTTAAGAGATGATTTAATATCAATCACGGAGAGTGCTGGTTTCAAGTTGAGACAATGGTGCAGCAATGAACCACTATTGTTAAGAGAATTACCTTTATATTTAAGGAAAGTTGATGATGATACAAAAGAGCCTAATAAATTTATGGTAAAGTAGTAATAAATTTATTGTGTGCGAAATCAAGAGTCGCGCCATTAAAGGTAGTTTCGTTACCTCGGCTCGAACTGTTAGCTACGCTTTTGGCCGCTCGCCTTATGTCAAAATATGCACCAAAATTACAGTTACCTATAAATGAATATTTTTATTGGACAGATTCGACACTGGTATTAAATTGGTTATTATCTCCGTCGTCTCGTTGGAAAACTTTTGTGGGAAACAGAGTAAGTGAAATACAAGAGTTAACGTCTGTTTTACAATGGAGGCATGTTGCGTCCAGCGACAATCCAGCGGACATAGTGTCAAGAGGCTGTTTTCCATCACAAATGAAAGGCTTAGATTTATGGTGGAACGGACCTAGTTGGTTGAAAGGGGAACATACTCAATGGCCAAGTAACTTTCGAGAACTTAATTTAAAAGTGAATATTTGTCTGAAGAAAAAGTAATTACTAATTTATTCTTAACAATGGAAAATAATTCTTTTAATCAAATTTTAAAATTATATTCTTCATTAAGTAAATTTTTACGTGTTGTGGCTCATTGTCTTCGTGTGAAGTCTAATTTTTTATCGAGTGACACTAATATTTATGGTCCTGTTGAAGCTACAGAAATTGATGATGCTCTTAAAAGCTTAGTGAAGGTAGCGCAACAAGAAGAATTTTTTACTGAGTTGTGTGACTTAAAAAACTCAAAATTATTGTCCAGTAAAAGTAAACTTTTTCGTCTTAAACCATTTCTAGACAACGATGGTATAATCAGGGTAGGCGGTAGGTTAAAACATGCCGTCTCACTGTCATTTTTTCAAAAATATCAGATAGTACAATCGATTGGTAAGGCTCTGTTTAACTATGAAGAGTTATATACAATACTTGTTCGAGTAGAAGCCATATTAAATTCGCGACCGTTGACACCTTTATCCACGGATCCAAATGACTTATCGGTTTTAACACCTGGTCATTTTTTGATAGGTGACTCGCTATCCGCTTTTCCCGAACGTGACGTAACGAATATTATGGAGAACAGACTAACTCGCTGGAGGCGTGTTGTTCAAATTACGCAAAAAATATGGATTAGATGGAAGAACGAGTATCTCAATCAGTTACAAGAGCGAAAAAAATGGTCACAATCAAATGGTCAAATGATTTGGAGAAAAACACTGTAGTTCTCTTGCGTGATGAAAACTTGCCCCCTTTAAAATGGTCAATTGGAAGAATAATGGAAGTTCGTAGTGGTTCTGACGGTGTCGTACGAGTGGCTACTATTCGTACAGCAACCGGTGTATACAAACGAGCTGTTCGTCAATTATGTCCATTTCCTTTCGAGGGAAATTGTACAGCAAGTTCAAATAATTAAAAATTTTTAAAATGTATGTTTATTAAATTATGTTAATGCTTATAATTTGAAAAAAAAATAACAATAATATCTAGTCTAAATATTGTGATATAAATTCTTGTTTTTTTTATGTATGTAATGTATTAATTATTATTTGTATCTCTATTATAAAATATGTTCATTATTAAAGTGTCCTGCAATTAATATTTGTTGCAAAATGTAGTTACCATAATTATTATTATTTATTTATATATTAATTTAATTATTTGTAATTTATTTAAAACATGATATGTTATTTCTAAGTTATAATTATTTGTTATTTATCTGAGAATGTTTTACAGAATTAATGTTTATATTTTTGGCCATGAATGTGGGTCAATTGTTTGTCATAATCTTATTATTTATATGTACTTTATATTGATTCTATTGAAATGTGTTATTTCATGGTAGGCGGTGTGTTCGCGCTCGTTATCACGCTATTAAGAGATATCTATAATAATGATGGTCGCCGACCAATATATGAAGTAGTTATGTTCGATCTACGTACGCGCGCGGACAAATCGCCAGCTTACAAGTAAATTATAATAAAACGATACAGTCCACTATTTTTAATATTCGTATTTATCAATTATTTATTATACATATTGAACCAGTTCGAAACAACACCTTATGTATTTCTTTTTTATTTAATATAAAATGTTTGAATATCTCACCCTTTTTCTGCTCATAAGGTGATTTAAAACGGTTGGGTTTTGTACTAAAAGTTAATTTTTTCATCTTAACTTTTAAAAATTTTCCAGAAATACTGTGTCTTTCAAACATATATCAAATTAAAGCTTATTTTATGTACTATAAAAAAAAAAAAATATTGTCCTGACACCTTATCTTCTATGAATAAATGACTATCAAAGTTAAACAAAAAAATGCAATTTTAATGTAAATATCATCGTCTATTGTATTGTACATCTTTAAATTAAAAGCTTATTTTATGTACTATAAAATGAAAAAAATAATTTGTCCCGACACTTTATCTTCTGCATGCAAACGGCTGCCGTAGTTTAAAAAACGCTATATTTGTTTTAAAATTTTCGATTTTAAATTTTCAATTTAAAAATGCTATAACTTTTCGAAAAATGTATGCATGAGCACAAATGTTTTTTTCTAAATACATTATAAGTACATCTTTCTTTTGACATACATTTTATTAAAATTGGACAAATTACCCTTATATAGGGAGCGTTCAAAACTTGAAATATTGTATAAAAATTAGAACATTTTCAACTTAATTTTTGAGAATGTTTCGGAAATACTGCGTCCTTTAAACATATATCTAATCAAAGATTATGTCATATACCATAAAATGAAAAAAAATATATGTCCCGACACCTTATCTTCTATGTGTAAATGGCTGCAGAAATTCAACAAAAAATGAAATGTTTGCGATAAATATCACCTTCTATGAGGATGGTTTCTGTACTTAAAACTGCCATAACTTTTTTAAATATTAACAAATCAAAATAATATTTTTTCATATTGAAGCCTTAGGTAATTTTCTTTCATTTGATATCATTTTTTTTTTAACCAACACTTATGCTATTCACAGGGGGAGATTTAAAATTGCTACTTTTTTCAAAAGCTAACTTTTTCATAAATGTTTTAATTGAATATTTTGCCTCACCTAAGTTAAGAAAAACGACTTTGAATTTTTGAACTAGCTTAAATTTTTCATTTTTAGTTACCAATATATGCGATGTACGGTTGTGACAACCATACATGACGTCCATGATACTAATAGTCAAATAATCAAAACTAGTATATCTAGTTAAAGATATTACCTTCAAAAATTGAAATAAATTTCTTTCTCAATCAAATAAAATGTGATTTAATCAAATTTCTCCATTTAGACAATTCAAATCATTAATTTCTTATATTTTTAAAATGTGTATTGTCGAATTAAGTTTGATATGATAATAGGTTTCAACTTGATAATACTCGGGACAACTGTTATCATAAACAGTGTGTGATGCTCTACCATATGTAAAATATATCAAATGTCGTTATAACCTAACTGCATGAGTAGCCTACGCTGGTTAAACAAGTAATACGTTGTGTGTTATGTCGTGTAGCTTATTCTGTGAATAATGCGCAAACAGCCCTCAATATGTCGTGGTATCCGCAGAGTACCGACGGCACACCAAAGTAGAGTACAGCCTTGCACGAGTACACTAGACGTGTGTCGACCACCGCAGTACCCCGACACCGATGACTAGAAGACAGAAATAAGGTATAACATATAGTTACAGCACTTTGCGGGACGACGCCATCTTTATTTAATCACTTTCCGGTTACGTGAATTGTGCCTAACGCAGTTGAGCGCAGGTGGACTCATGCTGTTAGTTTGTATTTAGAATTGCTCTAAATTTTTGGGGTATTGGCCCTCAATCAATAATATTGTATTATTTTTCTTTAGTAGACAAATTTATTCTAGGCAACAAAAAAATAAATAAGCTTACTAACCGTAAATAATTAACCTTAAACTGACTTGCTTATTCTAAAAAAAAATAACTTACAAAAAATAATAAGAAATATAGAAAGGGAATAACTGCTACGTCTTNAAATAATTAAACTTAAACTGACTTGCTTATTCTAAAAAAAAATAACTTACAAAAAATAATAAGAAATATAGAAAGGGAATAACTGCTACGTCTTTCTTCCTTGAATTTGTTCTTGCAAACTAACGGTCGTTGAAATTACAGGCCACCCTCATTCTCTCTCAGCCCGGCAGGTAGAAACGATCCTCATTGAATTCAAGCTAGGCAGTTGGTCAACCGGTCCGAACTACTTGCCTCTATGTTCGCCGACACAATTAAGAATTCGTATAACCTTACTTTGTTATTTATTTAGTTNTTTACTTTGTAATTTATTTTTTTTTAACTCTAATTGAGTATTCTACTACTATTCTATAATATTCAAAATATGTTGGTAACATGTTATTTAATAAATCATATTTAAAAAAAAAATGATTTCGGATTTCACGTGAATTTATCTATGGATTTTTACAATTATAATCAATATTTATAACACGTTCAAATGAGTAAATTTTTCAACATTTCTTACTTTGTTCATTTGTTATTTTGAAGCAAAACTAAGAAGGTATTGGTCTTGTGATGCTGTAATTAACTAAAGAATTTTTATGGGTTTCAGAATTTTCATTCTAATATATTAGAAAAGAGACGATTTTAAGTGTTTCTATTTTTATTTATCCTTATGTGGTTTAAATAATTAATATTAAAAAAAATTTTATTGACTACTAGCGGCTAAATTGTTTACTAAATTAAAAGTTAAATATATTAATCAAATCCAACAACATCACAAAAAAACTTAAAAAACAACGGATGTATATTTTAAAAACATTAAGATTGGCATTAAGTTTGACATGAAAAGTATCAAAACAATAAGATAATTGTTATTTATAGAGCATAATTTTATTTAATTTGTATCAATTATCATTAATTTATTCAACAATCAGTATAAAATGTTCTAATAATTTTTAAACAACATAAATCAACTTTTTAAACATTGATTTAATAATAAATCAATGAAATATTTTCAAATTAATTTGTTGAAAAATAACTAAAATAATTTGATTTTTTATAATAATTATTTATTATAGAATACAATATAACAAATAGTTTGAGTTATACAATTTTAAGAAATAAAGTATATTTACTTATTTATAATCAACAAAATAAATTCAAGAAAAATTTAATGTAGAATTTACAGTAAAAATATTAAACATAAAACTAAAATCATTAAAAAATTGAATTCAAGTTATATAAATCAAGCGCATAAAAAAATTATACGTTTTATAATAAAATGTATATAATGAAAATACAATTATTTAAATTTACTTTTCAGTAAAATATATCATCCGGCAGAATGCTGCGGCAAAAATTTAAGAATTATAAGGTATTTTTATTTATTCGAAAATCGGTAGTATCTTTAACGTGAACATTAGAATATACCGAAATTCGTCTTTTATCAGTATAGTGCCAATAATTAGAAAAAATCAAAATTCAAAGCAGTACTTAATCGAAAAATAGTGAATTAATATCTAACATTAATAGTAATCAGCTGATTCTGGATACTTCAAGAATTTTCTATTAGTGTAAAGTTTATTGTTGTTGGATAAGTATTTAGTGTTCATATTGTAAAAGCGGCCGAAAAACGCAGTGATGGAATCGTGTCTATTGTCAATATAATTATGCTGAATTTCCATGTCTAGATCGAATAGTTTGCCAAATTGTATCAACTAGAAAATTAATTGATCGACATTAACTACAATTATGATTTACTTATAGAAATTTAAATCATTTACCTCATTTCGACCTGTAGTTTTAGGTATGTGGAGTGCTACATTAGGAGCAATGCTTCTCAACAGGTCGAAGAGTTTTTTACCGCCTCCTTCGTAGTTGCTACACATATGCTTTTCGAGACTGTACACTTCGTGTTTCTTATACGAAGGGCCGCCCCATGGAGGAGATGTCACTATGACCTGTGGCTTATATTTTTTTAAGGATTCTGCGATTTCAAAGAAATCTCCTAGTATAAATGTTATCTTCTCTCTGACTCCATAAATCTCAGCGTTCCTTTTCGCAAATTCCAATTTATTAGCATCGTTATCCACAGCGATTACTTGTTTGTATCTTTTGGCCAATTGGATGACGTTACCACCAGCACCACAAAACGGATCCATAGCGACGTGTAGGCCTGGACATCTTAACGCTATGTGTGTACTCAAGATTTCGGGACAAACTGAATAAAATGATTCTAAAAAAAAAAAAAAAACGTCAAATATAGTAAAACACTTAAGTTTGTTGAAATAATAATTGTATTACCATTGTCCATCATGATTCCTTCGTCGAATTTTGAAAACAATAAGTACCTCTTATCCCATAAATGTTTTTTAATATCATTAGGCCTAGTTCTAGTTGCCGAATTTTTGTTGTTATTATTTTCACGTCGTAAATTTCCATTCACTTTAGTCTTTTCCAGATCTTCTGGAGTAAAAAGTTCAGTTTTTTTACTTAGCAACGCACTGTTAGTATTAGATGTTATAATATTTTCTGATAATTTTTTAGACTGTATTCTATTAAATTTCAGTGAATTTTCTATTAAGGTGCAGTTTTCTTGATCTGTTGTAATAATATTTTCTGGCACTATTTCAAAGAGTTGTGTTGAATTATTGTTTCGTGACTGTATTATATCTGAGTTAAAAGAATTATCTGATTTTACAGAAATCCTTGTAGGAGTGTTTGTGGTCTCTTTTTCAATTTCAGTTTTCGTAACAATTTCTGGGTTTAGTTTTTTGACGGGTTCTATTTCATTATTCGTTAATAAAATGTTCGTATTAGTGTTTGAGGGCTCTTTTTCGGTTTCAATTATCGGAGTTCCCGTAAATTTATCTTCTATGAGCGGTTCTTCTAAAATTGAATTTTTTGTCAAAATAGGTGTTTCCAAATTTATAGGATGTGTAGTCAAAACTGGGCAGCGATTATTCATAATGGATTCTACTGGTTTAGTTGAAGTAATTTTCTTCTTAAAAAGTTTCATCTCCAAAAAAGTCTGCAGCGACACAACTGCCAATGCAATAAACATAATATCTCTAATTACTTGAAATGGAATTATAAAATATATCACCAACGTCGTTATAACGAAAAACAAATGCGAATCCATATTTTTTTATAAATATATAAACAAAAAACTTAAAAAATTTTAGATATACTTAGAGAAAAATGTAACAGTTAAAGTGTTTAAAGAATATACGTACTCATTTATCACAAAAAATAACTAAAGCAAAAATCACCAAACGGTGTCGATTTAAACAGCATTTTTTATCCTATTTATACAAAAAAAATTTGACTTTTTTCATATTATTTCAGCCAATTAATATAACAAAACATTTATTCAATTGGCCAACAATTAAAACATTTAATTATCAAAATGTGTTATTTTGAATTACAAGTCTGCAACGATTGGCCTCAATGTGNAACAATTAAAACATTTAATTATCAAAATGTGTTATTTTGAATAACCATTCTGCAAATATTGGCCTCAATGAGTAGCATTAATTTTATAGTTACGGTTTACAACCAACACCTTCTTTTCTAATGAAATAATATAAAAACATTTCGACTCATAAATTTCTCTTTACATATTTAATGAAATATTTACAATTTTTTTAAAACTCCTGTGAAATTCAAATGGAAGTATTTATTATTATTTTTATCTTTATTCTACATTTTAAGTTTCTTTTTAAAAAACTATTTAGTTGTTTTCAATTAGCCATAAATTAATTTTGCAATAATTTTTACAAAATTATTTGAATTATTGAATTTTAAAACTTAAAATTACGATAAATTAGAACACTGGACATATAGAAATAAAATAAAACGTCAGATCATAAATGACCATGTCAGTTATTTTGCCTAAGTACGCCGTTTCTAATAAGTTTACTTTTTTTTAAGAACGTAAAATATAAAAATTACTTTAATTTAAATCAAATAAGCAAATTTAGTGTCTTAGATGATTGTGGCGCTTGTCACGATTTATTTTTATGATTTTATTGTAACGTCTTATTGTTATGTAAAACTAAGTATTTTTAATTTAAATTTATAATATGAATAAACTCAAAACAAGATATTTATTGGTAATGTTTTGAATACCTCATTTACAACATAAAAAATAAATAAATTTGTATTTAAACATTATAATTTGAATAAATTTACGAAAAATAAGTTTTATTATATTCAAAATATATTGTATTTGAAACAATATCATTTTCTAAAGAGTTTTTTGAAAAAAAATATCAAGTTGAAAAATAAATTATGATCACGTCTCAATTGCATTATTTTATATAATAATCGTTTTGTTTTGTACTAAATGAATCGAATCGATTAACCAAAATCAATATAACTATATAAAAAACAAAATAGTAAGACAAAAA